GAGCCATGTCTAGGAATTTACCGACTAGGAAGTCCTCCCAGAGCGGTGTTGCATTATCAAGAACTTCATCCGGTATCTCCACCAAATTTTTCCCATCAGAGGTTGAGATGTTGACTTCATATTTTTTGAGAACTTGCTTATTTTGGGCCACAGACACCCACGAACCAGTAGATTTGGGATAGGAGGCCCTTGGCGATCCTTCCCTCAACTCCGACATCACCCCGAAACAGTCTGACGGCGCCGGCAGACTGCTTTTACGAACAAGAAACTTTGAAAAACCTAATCGCACTCAGAATCGCCCTTTCTTGGTGACGTGTAATCGCACTCAGCTATATCCTCCCTCACTCCTAACAATCAAAATACAAAAATGAATCAGTATAATAAAAAAGTTGATATTCAAAACAAAAAATCGATGGAGTTATGAAGTTTTACCATAAACAGAGAGATTGATTCTTCAAAATCGGAAATCGAGGAGATATGGAGGGAAACTCAATCAAAAGCCGAAACTGATATCATAAAAGGTAAAGTCTTTTGACGGCGTTTAGTTAAACGTTAACGGAGAGACTTTTTACAAGAAGGAAGAAGCGTTACGGCGGCAGTGTAACAGAGAGAAGTCGAGAGGACAAAAGAAACAGGTTTTCTCTGTAAATTCGAGTAGCAATTGAAGGGTACTTTAAATCTTTTTGAAGGAGCGGGCCTTTTGATTAATCTTATTGTGGGCCTAAAACTTGTTTTTCTTTTAGCTGTGTTTGGTAAGTTAGCATTACTCAATATTGTTTTTGCCTTTTTTCTGGATTTAAAAAATAGGATAATCAATCTGTGTGATTTTTTACTCCATTTGTTTTAGGTTTTAAATAGTACTACCATGCTTTGATAATTATTATCAGTAAAATTTAGTGATTAAGATTATGTAATAATGTGGACTAATAAAATATTAGTGAGTTTTAATTAATTATGGTTGTATTTTTTTCCTATTTATGCTAACTAACAAAATCTATATATTATATATAATGGTAGAGTTTCTCTCTTCTTAGGGTGTCCACATCATCACCACATTAATATTATAGATCCCACCAACAATTATTTCAAAATATTTAATTTTATGGTTAATACATCTCATTATCAAAGAAGTAATCATCAATTAATGCACAATTTTAAATAAAGGTTACTTGAATAAGAATAACATAAGTGTAACATATATACATATAAAACACTTAAAATTAATTTTATGTTAATATATAACTTAAAATGAATATAACCCCTAAATATTTAATTAAGAAATAAAAAATAATTATGAAAATTTTATAAAGATATCAATGTTATTTTTTTTTTTTTTTTTTTGTCATCTGTAATTAAATAGTGCTCAAAAGAGCTATTCTTGTGGAATGTTGTTTACATAAGTGATATGAAGCGGTTCCGTACGAATTTTTCGTGCCAGATTATCCGCTTTTGCATTTGCACAACGAGAAATTAAAGATAAAGAGAAGGTAGAGAACTCTTCCTTGTCGCTCTGAAATTCCTCCAGATACACTGAGAAGGCCGGCCATTCGGTTGGGGAAGACACCATCTTCACCAGGTCAGAACAGTCTGTAAGGAATGCTACCTCTTGATTATCTGCACCAATCATACACTTCATCGCCCAAAGGAGGGCCTCGAATTCGGCATGTAGCGGAGATAGGCTTCTACGGAGGTTGGCAGCTCCCATTGTTGATGGCTCACCGTTTGATGGTGTACAAAACCACCCTATCCCGGAAAACTTGTCGCTGTCTTTCCAGGATCCATCCACAAAACAACGGTATCCTGTAAAATCCGAATCTAGGGACACCCCCCTCGTTTGAGGCCGATTTGGAAATTCCACTGAAGCCTGAGTTTCAGTATGAAGCTCCACTTGAGCTGAGTGCCACAATTGTGCCTCTCTTTCCGCTAACCGTAAAACCTCTAACGGATCGTTATCCACATTTTCAAACAATTTTTCATTCCGTGCTTTCCAAATATACCAAATAATCCAAGGAAAAGCTATAGAATCAAACTCCGATGGTATTCTCCAAAATAAATGATCCAAGTTTGCAAAAATAGAATCTGTGGGAAAAGTCCCCATAACCGTAGGAATCTGAGAAAGTGCGCAAACCTGTCTTGCAGGATGGCACTGAAAGAGTGTGTGATTGACTGTTTCCTCCAGTGCACCACATCTGGCACAACCAGTGTCACAATCAATTCCTCTTTTTCGTAAGTTCTCTGTAACCGGTACACAACCCGTTAAGATTTGCCATAAAAAATGACGTATCCTAGGTGGACACTGTACTTTCCAAGTATGAGCCTTTAGCTTATTGAAATCTGGCCCAATGAAAGATGAGTTGGTTTCCAACTTATCCAACCGTGCGGTATGATACCCCGACTTAACTGAATATTTGCCGGATTTTGTAAAATGCCAACCCAAGGTGTCCTCCTTGGTTGGCGCACCCACCGGTAGGGCACTTATTAACTCGACATCTTCCTGGTCAAAGACCGCTTTGAGGAGATCAATGTCCCAAAAATTAGATCGACTATCTATAAGCATGTTAACTTTTAAAGATGGGTCATTAATAGATCCATTACTTTTTGCTGGTCTCGGGAATTGAGCTGGAATCCACGGATCCTCCCAAACTGAGATGGAATTCCCAGATCCGACTCTTTTAATAAGTCCTTTATTAACCAGAGATCTAGCTGAGCATATACTCCGCCACCCATACGATGGGGAATATGACTTTATATTTTCCAAAGGATTGGATTTCCTATAATACCGCCCTTTAAAAACCCTCGCAAAGAGAGAATCCGGAACCGTGATCAACCACCACAACTGTTTTGCAAGTAAGGCCGAATTAAAATCATCGACGTTTCGAAATCCTATCCCTCCTTCCGATTTATTAATACATAATTTATCCCAAGCCATCCAATGCATAAATTTATAAATTTATAAATTTATCCCAAGATATCAATGTTATTTAAGATGGATAAAAGGATTCTTAATGAAATTTATTATACAATTACAAACAAATAATAACTTATTAAAAATAAAATAAAACATTAAAAACTATCATTTTAAAAATAATAAGGAAACCTCAAATATAATTTAGGATGAACAAAAGAATTGAATTGAAATGGAAAGCTATAAGAGTTTTTTTTTTTTTTAATAATAAGAAGATATTCATATTTCATGGAAACATTAACTTAAAGAGATAATAATGAAATAGAAGAAATTCATTTAAAATAATAATATTTTTAGATTAAAAAAATAAATGGTTAAATGTTATAGTAAATGTATGTTTGTATAAGTTTTTAAAGATAAAAGAAATAATTTATATTTAAAATTATATTTCGAGAGAGTAATAGTATAGATTCACATTGACGAAAAAAATAGAAAGATTCAATGTATCTTAATATTAAATTAGAGTAAAATATAAGAATAAAAACAATACAATTATATCTACATTATTTCGAGATAGTAATAGTATAGATTCACATTGATGAAAAAAAATAGAAAGATTCATTGTATCTAAATATTATATTAGAGTAAAATATAAGAATAAAAATAATACAATTATATCTACATTATTGTTTGCTTTCTAAATAAAAATTGAATATGTTTAAATATAGGTAAAAATCTAAATAAGTACTATTGAGAAAATTATAACAAATATATATCTTTCGTAAAATTACATTACACTGAAGCACGAAAACCATATAACTGATAAACGAAAGATAGACTAAGAAGATGAAAATGAGGAAATAGTTTTGAGTTAAGAATCAATTTAAAGTTTTATTATATGTAAGTGAGCATAGAAGATAATAGAAGAGTAGATGTTGGAAAGCGAACAAATGCATCATAGAAGATGACGAAAAAATGTTTGAAGATCATGAAGCATCAGATATATGTATGCACATGACTAAACGAAATTCATCGGATATATGTATGCACTATAAATAATTTGGTTTAGTAAACCAGACTATCATATTCAACATCGGGTTAAATCGTCGAACCATGTAAGCATAGTAGGATAGATAAGATAAAGACATTTATGACTTGGTCAAAACTTTTCTTTAGGTATTATGGTCTTGCTTCAATAGATAAATTATGCTCTCCAAACCTATTGAAGTGGCATGAATATTACGTTTATATATTTTCATACTTTGATGTTCAAACTTAGCAAATTTACTTTTAGTACGAGGTACGATAGGTCAAAACATCAAGAAAAATATACTTACAAGGTTTGTTTATGGAAATAACTCTCTTTTTGATAAAGTCCATTGATAACTACCGAGACCGATTCATCTTATATAACTTTTATTATTACATGGTACCTACCAAATATATTTTATAATTTATATGTTGTATATTGTTTCGTAAAACAAGTATAAATATATAGAGTTTTTGAAATTCAAACGATTATGATTAGTTTTAACATTTTGTATTGTAACCCGTTGAAATTTGGTATTCCGCGCAACGCGTGGGCGAGTAAATCTAGTAACTAAAATTGATCAGAGGATTAATTGAAATTAATAGGCATGTGTAGATTTTTAGAATCAGATTACTTTTAAAAATATGATTGGAGAAATAAGATAACTAGATACTGTGTTAATTAATGATTTAATGTAAAAGAGAGAGACAGAGATAAAGAAGTATTATTCCAATTGTTGTATAAACAAAGAAGAGATTATTGTACCAAATGTTCTAAATATGAGATTTTACAATATAATATTGGATAATTATTAACAAATACGGCAAGGATTCAATTACGTACTAGACCTAGTCACCTTTTTTAGTCATTATAGGTGAACGCATGCATAATCAAATGCTGTAAGAAGAGAAGTTTCATGGAGCAAGAAGAGAAGGGAAAAGTTTATTTGTTCATTCATCTTCTTTTTTTGCCAGTAAATAACAGGAAAACACACCCCAGTCTTATTGGAATTATTAGCACAAAGTTACTTGAACTTACAACCACATTAAAAGCATAGTAAAGAGAACACACACCAATCTTATTGGAAGTTTCATTTTGTATATATATGACTGACTGGTTTTATTAATAAGATAGAAGGTTTTTACTCGGTGGTGGTGATGGGCACGATAGTGACTCCGATGCTGTGAACAACATCGCTAGCTTGTCCATGGAATCCAACGATCTTATGGCCTTCCTCTCCAAGCGAGAACTTCTTACCAGAATCCATTCCAAACGGCATTGACTCCCTTTTGTTGGTCTTAAACTGAAGACAGACAATTGTTGGTTCCTCGACTCCAAAGATCTTATCGTAGTAGCCATCTATGGTTATGAGATATTCACCATCTTCAAGCACAAACTGAAAAGGTTCAAAACTGACAATGATAAGTGTAAATCATATAGAGAATGAGTTGAAAAAAAATAATAATAATTGTTGTTAAATGACCTCTTCAGCTCCGAGTAATGTCTCCTTCCCATGGTCATCTCCGGATACAAGTTCTTTGCCCTTACTGTACTCAAACTTGACAAAGGATACACCGTCGTTACCTTGTCCTACAAGTATCTTCCTTATACCGTCGTAGACACCATCATCCCATGTAACTCCTTCGTTGCCGCCTATTGCTGGTAGTTTCTTGGATGGAATCAAAGGAGTAGGAGTAGGAACAGGTCCAAAATATGCTCCAAGAGCATCAATAGCTGCATCTTCCTTTCCGTGGAACCCAACAAGCCTATGACCCTTTTGCTCCAACACAAACTTCTTACCCACATTATACCCAAAGAATGATGTTCTCCCCTTTGATGCTTCGAACTTAAGTGACGTAATGACGGTATTGCTAAAAATATTTGGCTTTTGATAGGTTGCTTCCACCGATTTGATGTATTCGTCTGTGTAACCAAGCACAAACTGCAACAAGAAGCAAAATATAAGAACACTTTTGTCTTAAGAAGTCTAAATACATGTATATATCTACAAAAATGGAACCGGAGTGTGCGAGAGATACTTCATACTACTGCAAAGAACCTACAACACAATAATTAATTTATATCTGGAACCTAAATTTATGTCGTTGTACTATTTCACATATAAATAGAGTTTAACAATAAATAACATTTTTGAGAAATCTTGAACTAGTCGTGTATAAGAACTAGACAACTAGAAAATTACCTCGGATGGTGTATCTCCTTTCCCCCCATGGTTACATGTCTTTGATTCCCCACCTTTCTCGTACTCGAACTCTAAATAAGTGATACGAGAATTATCTTGACCAATACGCAGCGTTTTAACGCCGTCGTAAGAACCATCATCCCAAACACGCCCGTCTGTACCACCTTGGGCATCTAGCTTGTAAAGAGGGAACGTGCGTGGTATCCAATACAAAGTAAACTCCAAGAGCGTCGAGAGCATCACCTGCCCGTCCATGAAACCCTACGATCTTCTTTCCCTCGTCCTCAAAAACAAACTTTGTACCGCTCGTAATTCCGAATAAGTTTGGACCAAACGTTGGAGAGCATCTACCCTTTGAGGTCTTGAAGACGAGGGACGTAATTACCTCCGTGGCAATTAGAGCCACTGGGTGGTAGCTTCCCTCCACTGCTGTGATGTGTTCGTCCGGGTATTGAAGTACAAACTGTATGTAAAAGTATCATATATTCAATCACAATATTGTTAGCTTGGTTTAGAATAATTCTCAAGATTTTGTAGTCCTAATCAGGGGCGGAGGCACTTGGTGGGTAGTGGGGTCAGCTGACCCCTACTAATTTTAAAAATTCCATTATATGTCTTTACTAGATATTAACCCGCGGTACACCGCGGGTCTATAATTTTATTAAATAATAATAAAATTAATTTTTTTTTAAGATGATCTATAGATATATGCTATTGTTTTGTTTGATTTAAATGTATGGTACACACGATATTTTATAACTAAAGATTTAAAATTTGAAGTTTTATTTGTTTTGTTAATATTATTTGTTTAGTTTTGTTTAGTGTTTAAGATTGTATAGTTATATTTTGATTGTTAATTATAGGATTTCACCTGTAGTATATCATACTGTATTAATATCGACCCCAAATCCGTCCGACCATATAACTCTGTCCCGTGAAATCAACATCATTTTGTCATTTTCCAATAAAATTCAAATATTTCTAATATTCGAAACTTCATTTAATATCGACCCAAAATTCATAATAGTATTTTGATTGTTATATCTAGGATTTCACCCGTAATATACCGTCCCGTATTAATATCTTTTGTAAATATTTATAATGTTTAAATTTCTTATAAATTATTATAAAATTCAACTATTTAATATTTGAAACTTTATAAAATTCCTAATATTATAAATATTTAAAACGTTTTATAAAAATAAACTTTTTTAAATGTTTAAATAATTATAATATTTTACTTTTAATAAAGTTTAAATGTTTATAATAATTTGAAACTATTTAAAAGTTTCAATAAAAAATATTAGAAAACATTAAACATGAAATACATTGGATAAGAAAATAAAATATATATGATGTGATTGTTAACCATATAAAACATGTAATTGTTGTAAAAGGTTTTAAAAGATTAGAAAAATTACACTTACCAACCAAAACTCGGATCCACAGGTTTTAGTAAAAGTATATATCATAAAAACAATTAAAATACATAACATTAGAATAATGAAAATTAAGAATAAGAACTTTATTTTATTAACAAATTCATTTCCTTTTTACGTTAAAGAAAATGATTTTAATAGAATGGACTTGTTATGTTAGCCTATAAAAGAAAATCATTTACAAACATTATGAGGAAACATGAAATTATGAAAATGTAAAAAAATACTGGACATTAAAAAAAATTCGTATCTGAAGATAAGAAGAAGGACTAACTAACCTTTTAATGCATACCTTATTTGATAGTTTCTTTGGAGACGGAGTTGATGATGTCCATAATTTCCAAAGATCTTAAAATCGAAAGCTGCAACATAAGAAAAGTAGGTGACAATTAATTTTTTAAAAGAAAACAAACATGAAATATAAAATGTACTAAGAACATTGTTTAAAAGAAGCCATATAAATCTCTATTACGAAAACGTTTAGTATTGTGGATCAATGGTTGAAAAGATCTTTTTTATATAGATGAATGAAAAGTACTCGAGAAGTTTAGGTTTGATCTAAAAATTAAAACAATTTTGCAAATATTGGAAAATTAAATATTTGATTCCTAATATATTCGATTTTGTATTATCAACTGAATAACGTCTATATGCATGGTGGGATTTATGAATGAGGAAAGCTAATTAAAGATATTTCCATTTGTTTTAGGAAGTTTGTTGAATAATATCTAAACGAAACAAAAAAAATCTTTTAAAGATATTTTATGAGAAATAATATATTCGCCAATTTGGGTTGGGGATCAAGTATATGAAAATCTCGTAAATATTATATGTTATATTTATTACATATACTAATTTTCACATTGTAGTTATTTAAATCAAAGAATTTAATGAGTTAATTATGGAATACAAAATATTTATGTAAATCAAAAAGTTTAAAGAACCAATAGCGCTGGAATTGATTTTTTTGCTATAACGATTACTAAAACATTTAAGTAAATAAAGATATTTCGTTATGATTTTTCAGCATATTCGAATTGTTGATTATTTCGAAATTTAAGGATGTTTAAGAAATCATGATTGATTTCCGATTTCATAAATTTTGATTAGAATTAAAAATAAAAGATTTAGTATTTAGATAAGGAATATACTATAATAAGGATTATTAGTACTCGAATATATTAGGAATATTCGTATTGTTAGTTTATTTAATTCAAAAATTATAATTTACGGATTTAAAGGAAGATCTTCTCGAGATTTTAGGCATATAATCGAGATTTTAGTAACAAACTGTGATCACATTAAATTTTCGAAAGATTTGTGTCGAAATTGTTAGAAACAAATTAGGATAGATAATGTTTGGTTAGTATCTTTTTAATATTTTCAAATCTTTAGAATTAAACTCATTGACATTATATTGTTGAATTTATTTTTTAAAAATGACGTAATATTAAATAAAAAAATATATAACTAACTATTTTCATTTGATGGTGTAGACAAATTATTATTACTATTTATGTAATTTAATTACAAATAACAAATATTAATTTTTATAACAAAACAAATTATTTTCGTAATAACAATTTTTCCCCAAATCAATCTTTTACAAAATATTTATTTTAATCACATATTCTTTCTATATAGAAATAAATAGTTAAATAATTATGGTTAGAAGTAGTTAAGGTAAATAACAAATATGGTTAGTTTAGATATATTATATATATTTCTAATTTAGGTGTTAATTAAGAATTAATGTCGTTTTTATTATAAACTTCCTTAAATTTCTTATTCTAGATCCGAATAGAGTTAAACCCGGGTAAAACCCGGATCCAAAAGACTTTTTGCAAAAATCCCCTGTAAAAATGTATATGTAGATATTAAATCTATTGAACCTAATTAAAAATATTTCTTGACCCCATTAACCCAATCAAAAACTAATTTACATCTACAAAAAGCCCATTACTTTTATATATTGAACCCACATTTAAAGTCAAACCCAAACAATTAATACAATTTTCAATGATTTACATGGATTAATACAAAAATACACCTAAATTATATTTCTAATAATAAACAAAACAATAAAACAAAGTTCTTTGTCTCTTCTTCTTCTCATGGACGAAGGAAAAAAAAAAAAACCCTAAATGATGGCTTCTCTAAATCAAGGTAATCAGTTATTTCCTCCGCTATTTCATTGAAAAAACTTTTTTTATTCGTGATGTGATTCGTTTTTTGTAAATTTGTTTGCAACGATTTGTGATTCAATTTTTTTTTTGAATAGTTTATAACACTTTTGTTTTTTTTTTACGCCAGTTAAAAATAATCTTGGCTCCGCCACTGGTCCTAATAATATCGGATTTTGGATTTTAGAAAGGTGTCTTGGAGTTTGTATCTTATTCCGCCTCAAGAATACTTGCTCCTTCTTGTTTATGCCTTAAAGGATTAATCCAACGTTTATCGAATTCACAACAGTAATTTTTTTAGTATCGCAAATGAGAACATCTTTAGGGTGTTGATTTATTGTCCCATATAAAGTTGTTACTACTTCGCTGTCTTCCTTCACGTACTCAAATTTGATGTAAGTGATACGGTTGAGATCTTGCCCTACATACACTTTTTTTACACCCTCATATACATCGTCGTCCCATTCCTTTCCTCCTTCACCACCGCAGAGTGCCAACTTCCGGTACATCCTTGCCATTTCAAATCTACAAATATTGTAAAATTTAAAAATTACTTCTTACATATATATTCCAACAAAAAAGTATACAAATAGAACAATCAACTGACGAATTTACTGTGTGATGTAGATATATAGCTCTATTATTGGTGATGTGGTGTTATATAAATCAACCAATTAGGATTAAAGTGTTACATATATGAGGGTGTGAAGCATACATATTTACATATAAATAGCTACTTCAAAAACAATTTAAAAAAAAAAAAAAACATTTTGTGAAGCAAACATGCATAGTAGAGGAAATTAGGAGCTACTGCCAAAAAAAAAAAAAATTGAGAGAGGGAGCTAGAGAGATAACCAGTAAATTCTTGAGCTCTGATTGATGGAAGAGATGAACCTTATGTGTGTTGACATGTGTGTATTTATTGACAATCTTTGGCATACAAGGTCTGATAGTCTTTAATCATTTTAATAATCAACTCGTGTGACACGAGGGACTCCCTCACCAATGCAACAAATAATTAGACTCCGATCCATTACGATCCCAATAATAATAATTACACTGTACAACTTGTCAGAATGCAGATGTATTTTAAAGTACAACAGATGAACAAAACAATTATTCAAAATAGCACAAAACGAATTCAACATATTATTAATTTATAAGAGTAGAAACAACCGCAAAGTCGACAATGAGCCCAATAATAACATACAACTTGTCAAATGCAGATACTCTTAATTTAGTAAAACAAATCATCCTCTTGTTCAAGCATTTACATGAAATCAGAGAAGTGAAAATGGTGATTTCTGAAATATGTTAAGGTAGAATCGTCGTCTATATTCATCACAGGTAGAAGATATATATACACAAGGACTTGCCTAACTAGATAATATCGTATCTAACTAAATACATGATTTGGAATATTAACATATATCCTATACCCCCCTCACGTTGGTGCGACGAAATCAGAGACACCCAATGTGGACAACAGTTTCTGAAATTGTGGAGCTGGCAAGGCCTTTGTTAAGAGATCAGCGACTTGATCATGAGTAGTAATGTGGACAGTAGTAATTAGCTTATCTTGAACAGCATCTCGAACTTGATGACAATCACGTTCGATGTGCTTTGTGCGCTCATGGAAAACAGGATTTGCAGCGATGTGTATGGCGGCCTGACTGTCGCAGTACAAAGGTATGGGAGTAGACTGAGCAACACCAAGGTCTTCCATGAGTCCCTTTAACCATTTGATTTCCTTAAGAGTGTAAGCCATAGCTCGGTATTCTGCTTCAGCGGAGGAGCTGGACACAGTTTCTTGTTTCTTTGTCTTCCAAGAGATAGGAGAGGCACCGAGAAAGACAACATAGGCAGACAATGAGCGACGAGTTCGCGGGCATGCAGAGAGGTCAGAGTCGCAGTAGGCAGTGAGTGTTAAAGGACTGTCAGAGCGAAGTAGAATACCTTGATCAGGAGAGCCTTTCAGATAGCGAACAAGTCGAAGTGCGGCTTCCCAATGAGCTACAAGCGGAGTCGCCATAAATTGGGAGAGAATGTGGACGGGATAGCTCAGGTCCGGACGTGTAATAGTCAAGTAAATAAAACGACCAACCAAACGGCGATACTGCTCCGGATCTTCATACATAGGACTTGTCACCGAAGCAAGTTTATGGTTTAGTTCCATAGGGGTCGGAGCTGGTTTGGTCCCCAACAAACCAGCCTCATTGATGATATCAAGAGTATACTTGCGTTGAGACAAGCAGAAACCATCTTTCCCACGAGAGACTTCGATACCGAGAAAGTACTTTAATTTACCGAGGTCTTTCATATGGAAGCACTTGCTGAGTTGTTCTTTAAAATGGTTGATGGCGTCTAAGTTGTTGCCTGCGATTACAAAATCATCAACATAGACTAGCATATGAATAACTGTGGTGCCACGGTTTAAGGTGAACAAGGAGTAGTCTTGATAGCTTTGTTTAAAACCGAATTCACGAAGAGCAGTCGAGAGCTTGGAGAACCAGCACCGTGGTGCTTGCTTAAGACCATACAAGGACTTGCGCAATCGGCACACTTTCGATGGATCAGAAGATTTAAAACCCGGGGGGAGTTTCATGTAGACTTCTTCGTCAAGATCACCATGAAGGAAAGCGTTATGGACATCCATTTGGTGTACTTCCCATTCTTTGGCCGCGGCAACTCCGAGAAGAGAACGTACAGTTGTCATCTTTGCCACCGGAGCAAATGTTTCTTTGAAATCCACACCCTCTTTCTGATTATTGCCCATGGCAACAAGACGAGCCTTGTGACGTTCAAGTGAACCATCGGCACGAAACTTTAATTTGTAAATCCACTTGCTATTTATAGCTTTCTTTCCAGGAGGTAAGTCGGTAATATCCCAAGTGTGATTAGCTTCTAGAGCATCTATTTCTTTCTTCATTGCATCACACCACTCCTTGATCTTAGCAGCATCTTTAAAATGTTTAGGCTCATTGCTGTCTAAGACCGCAGCCATGAAAGCAAATGGTTGGCGGAAAAACCCACGTTAGAGAGAAACTTAGTAATGGGGTAAAGAATCGTACCAGAGGCCGTAGTCGAAGACATTGAATCGGAGAGACCAGATGCGAGAGCGTGAGAAGAAGAGTGTACATGAGAAAGAACATAGTCTTTAAGTTGAATAGATGGAATCTTGATGCGATGACCTTTACCAAGTAATTCTGGTAGGCCCGGAGTAGGAGGAGACTCGTCACCTGGAACAGGCAACACAGGAGCCGAAGGGGGGGGAGACCGGAGACTGTGGTGTGGCTGGAACCACAGCTTCCTGCGATGCTGCGTGTCGATCGACACCAGCCTCCTGTGGCGTAGAAGCAACCTCTGACAAGGGAAGAGGAGGAGATACTACCATCGAAGATGGGGAAGGCACTTGTTCCCAGTCATCATCCACGACCGTAACTTGTTGGTGTGGTAGCGACGGAGAGGATTTGGTGGCCAAGTCAGGGAAGACATCCTCTTGGAAACGAACATCACGACTAACAAAGAACTTTCCAGTGTCAAGATCAAACAATCTCCATCCCTTCTTCCCATAGGGATACCCAACAAACACGCACTTTCGACTACGGGGGCCAAACTTATCTTTATCCCGAGAACGATAATGAGCATAGCACAAACATCCAAAGGTTTTAATCATGTCATATGATGGACGCTTACCAAACAAAACTTCATACGGAGTCTTGTTCTTCAACACAGAAGATGGTGTTCGATTTATCAAATGTGTTGCAGCAAGTATGCTTTCTCCCCAAAATTTCACCGGCAAGTTGCTTTGAAAGAGACAAGCACGTGCGACGTTAAGAATATGACGGTGTTTCCTTTCCACACGTCCATTTTGTTGCGGGGTGTCAACGCAAGAGGTCTGATGTAAGATACCTTGTTCTTGGAAATAAGAACTAAGGCACATAAACTCGGTGCCATTGTCGGTACGAAATGATTTCACCGGTTTGCCAAATTGTCGTGTAGACATGGCACAAAAATTTTGTATGAGTTGAGGGACTTCGGATTTTGCAGACATGAGATATGTCCAGACAGCCCGAGAGTGATCATCAACAAGAGTAAGAAAGTAGGAAGCACCGCTTGTCGAAGGAGCGCGATATGGACCCCAAACATCGCAATGAACTAAATCAAAACAATCTGAAGCTTTATTATTACTGTCAATAAAAACATCTCTTGTTTGTTTAGAACGAAAACAAATGTCACAACTTTTGAGATTGCCAAGCTCAGGAGAAGATGTAACACATTCTGATAAAGAAATTAAAACACCAGCGGAAGGATGACCAAGTCGACGATGCCACAGCTCAGCAGAAGAAAGACTAGACGCAGTTGCTTTGTGAGAACGTGCTGCCAAGACTCCCGTAAAATAGTACACCCCCTCACGCTCTTCACCTGCTCCAATCAAAGTCCTCGAAAAACGGTCCTGTAAGAAACACAATGTGTCAGTAAATATGCCAATTGAGCCCGTTTGCTTGAGAAGCTTTGAGACTGAGATCAAAGTGCAATTAAAGTCAGGCACAAACAAGACATTAGTTAACACATATGCAGAACTCAACGGAAGAGAGCCACATTTGGTAGCTCGAGATGGCTTCCCATCGGGTTTGGTGACTGGTGAGGGTATAATATCAACAACATCGACCAAAATAGACAAGTCACCAGTCATGTGGTGTGAGGCTCCGGTATCTAAAACAACATCGGATAAATGAGTTTTACCAGACAATTTTTCCGAAGAGATGTTGGAGGACTGAGATTGAAGGAGATTGATCAGTTGAGTGATCTGACTAGCGGCATTGTCAGATGGGGCATCCACTCGGGCGTTGTTAGCACGTCCACGACCACGACTAACTCCTTTCATCGGACGTCCACCACGCTGGACAGGACGAGGCGGTGGATTACTGCCACCTTTTTGTTCGAGATACCACTCAGGAAAACCGTGTAGTTGGAAACATTCAGAGACATCGTGACCTTGACGACGGCAATGGGTGCAAGAGAGGGTAGAACGGTCGCGAAATCGCGGACCAGAGACTGCAGCAGCTTGTGGTGGAGGGTTTGTTTTTACGGTGAAACCAATTGCTTCTGTTTTTGTAGTTTCTGTGAGGTGAGAAACATTGAGATTTTGTTCTTCTCTAATGACTCGTGAATAGACTTGAGGAAGGGATGGCAACGGGTCTTCTCCTGTGATGGTGGAACGAATATGGCTGAAACGTGGAATATCAAGACCAAAGAGAAATTGATGAACGCGATCGTCTTCACGTTCTTTGGCAATATCAGGGGCTGCTCCACACGTACATGCACGACCAGTCTGGTAGTGTTGCAGCTCTTCCCACAGCTTTGACAAACGACCATAATATTCAAGGGCGGGTTGGCCGTTCTGTTTGCACCCAGCAATCTCGTCCTTGAGAACTTGCTTGCGCACTCCGTTACTAACAGAGAAGCGAGAACGAAGGCTTTCCCAGAGAGTTGAAGCTTCCGAGATGAACGAGACAGTGGAACGAATCTTGGGATCAATAGAAGTACGGATCCAACCGATTATCATTGAATTTGCAGCAAGCCATAAACTCAAATCAGGATCGTTAGATGGCTTCGGAGTGGATCCATCAATGAAACCAAGTTTCTTTTTGGCTTGAAGAGAATTCTTCAACTCGGTTGCCCATTCGGAGTAGTTATCTTCCTTCAACACGACAGAAGAAATAAGAGCACCAGGGTTGTCATTCCTCCTTGTCCTTTTTCTTCTCCTCCTCTTTTTTCTTCTCCTCTTTCTCTTTTTTCCTCTCCTCCTTCTCATTCCTTTCGTTCTCATCTTCATCCCTTTTCTTCTGCTTCTTCTCCTTCTTCCTCTGTAGCTTCATCGAGGCAGAACCAGATGATGAAGATAAACATGAACCTGAAGTACGTAGCCAACAAGACGAAGAAAAAGAATGATACAATAATGCTCTAAAGAGTAAAAGATGAGGTATATACTATGGAGAAGGAAGAGAAAGTTAACCTCCTTTTTTGTGGATGGAGTTAAAATGGATCCCTGCGAGATAGCTCAAATGAATGACCCTGTCGGGTTCTTTTTGAGACTTGGGCAAAAACTCCATGAATGGAGTAAGTTTGATTGATGTAATGAGTACTATTTTGACTCCATACACATCAGCAACGACTCTCAATGTGACTTCATCGCCCCATTCGGAGTTAGTGGACATATTCTTTACATACTGGGAGAAGTCCATATTATTCACAAACCCTTTGTAAATCTTTGGATGAGATTTAAGCTGATCATGAGAAAACAGAGTCATCAATCAATCATCATCCAAAACTCATAATCATCATCATATGACATTAATACACGTAAAAAAAAAAAGAATCGGCAAAGTTAGGAAAAGTTTCAAGATAGATTTACCTGTTTTACGATTTCTTGTCTAACACGTTTATGACAATCCGAGGTTTGATAAAATTGATCAGCTAAAGCACGGAACTGAAATAGAATTAACAGAAACAAGAAAAAGGGTTATTCATAATACGATTCAATATATATGTCAAGCTGATTGAGTATAATTTTATTTAGAAACATTAATTACCTGGCAATTTCTATCACTTTTCATCTTGATTTCGGTGTAACCTTCCCATTCCAATCTGAAAATCCAGGAGAAAAAAAAACATATAGTCGAAATTATTGGGCAAAAACTTTTGAAAAAGTTTACAAAGAACAAGCGATTGATACCTATACTCAAGTATTTCGCGATCACTAAAACCGTCCAAACACAACGACATCATCGTCTGAGTGTTAGGCATTTTTTAGAGTTGGGATTGATCGATGATTGATACAAAACAGAGTCTCTTCTCTCTTAGAAAAGATTAGGGCTAGATTTAACGTTAATCGGATTTTTTTTTCTCCCACGGTTAATTGTGAATTATGGTCATGTTATATACTACAAGAACGAAAAAAAAAAGGAAAATTACCGACAAAAAAAGTTAAAAGGAAAATTCACCGGCCAAAACAAAAAAAAGAAGTCCTGCAATTTCACATTTGCTTTTTGCGGATGATAGTCTCTTTTTCTGTAAAGCAGATACAGAGCAATGTAAAACGGTGATGGATATTAATGGGAATTATGGTAAAGCCTCATGGCAAGAGATAAATCTCAGTAAATCATCGGTCATGTTTGGTAAGAGCGTAGCAACCCAAACAAAAGATCAACTTAAAAACATCCTTGGAATCACTAAGGAAGGTGGCATGGGTACCTATTTGGGTATACCAGAGAGCTTAGGAGGTTCGAAAAGTAAAATCTTCAATTATGTCCGGGAAAGACTTAACGAACGGATTATTGGCTGGTCAGCTAAATTTATGTCGAAAGGAGGGAAAGAAACAATGATCAAATTAGTGGCTTTAGCACTCCCGACCTATGTTATGTCTTGTTTTAAACTCGCTCAAGAGTTAACTTCTAAGTTAACAAGTGCTATTTCCAATTATTGGTGGAGTTCCAATGGGAGAGATCGTGGGATCCATTGGATAGCTTGGGAGAAAATGTGTAAGGATAAAGAAGAAGGAGGTTTAGGCTTTCATTCCCTGGATTTTTTTAATGATGCAATGTTGGCTAAACAGTATTGGCGATTAATCCAATTTCCGAACTCATTAGTAGCTCGAGTACTAAAAGGTAGATATTTCAGGAATATTCACCCTTTACATGCAAAGAAACCAAACTCACCTTCGTTTGGTTGGAAGAGCATTTTTTCGACTAAAAGTCTAAGCGGGAGCTATATGGTCATTAGGTTCGGGTTTTAACCTATCGGTATGGCGAGATCCTTGGATTCCTGATGTTAATCCACGACCCGCAAATGGAAGAGGAAAATCATTACTTCCAAGTTTGATGGTTAACCATTTAATTAATCCGGCTTCTAAAGAATGGCATCTTCCCATTTTACAAGATTTTTTGGATCCAGTGGATATTCAGCTTATTAGAGGACTGACTATTAGTCAAGTTTATAAACCAGATAGACTTATTTGGCATCATACAAAATCAGGAAGATATACAGTTAAGTCAGGCTATATCGGGTTGCTCGAGAGTTGACAGGAACGATTGAATGGGGCCCAAATTATAAAATATTACAAGCACTTGCTTGGAAAGTCAAAGCCCCTCCAAAAATAAAACATTTCTTATGGCAAATTGCTTCTGAATCCCTACCAGTGACTTCAAAATTAGCACATCGATTCAATGTGATATTATCTGTAAAAGGTGTGAGATGACAGAGGAAACAATAAATCATGCTTTATTTGAATGCCCTCATTCTCAGGAAGTATGGGTATTATCCACAATACCTACGGCCTCCGGTATATTTCCTCTAAGCTTGGAATTTTTAAATCTAGATTATCTTTATCGGAGGTTACCATCTACTCCAGATGGGGGAGAGATCACATACTGTTATGCTTGGATTTTGTGGCTCATATGGAAAGATAAGAATAAAAAGGTTTTCAGGGGATTACAACCAGTACCCATAGATATTTTAAATCACGCTTTGAGCGAAAAATTAATGTGGGAAGAAGCTCATTTGGGACCGGTCGAAACTAGTTCTATCACGAAAACTTTGGAAAGCCCAGTTCAATCAATAAGATGTCGGATTGATGGCTCTTGGAAATATTTGGATCCAACTATAGGTATAGGATGGTGGTGTTTTCAAGGAATGGATCAGACAATACTGCTCGGTGCAAAGTGTCTAAGGAGATGTCCCTCCCCCCTTCATTCGGAGATGGAAGCTTTAATTTGGGCTATGAAGAATATCCTTTCAAGAAGGATCGATTGTCAGGTGTTTGAAATACATTGTTCAGAACTAGTCTCGATGATACAGTCACCTGAGGAATGGCCTGCTTTTTCAAATCAGCTGGATGAGTTTGGTTTACTCCGTGACTTTTTTCTATTCTTTCGCTTTCTCTCATTTCTCGTTTATGTAATGTTAAAGCGGACTGTTTAGCCCGTTCTTCTAGACTTTTATTTTCTAAAGTTACATTTGTAAACTCTTCTCTTCCTAATTGGGCAACCATCAAAGAGTTTTTTCTTAGTTAATGTGTGGTTGACAAAAAAAAAAAAAAAAAAAAAAAAAAAAAAAAAAAAAAAGAAAAGTTTCAAGAAGGAATAGTTCATTCATTTATTTGCGTATGATTTGTTGAGATTTGAGTTCTTGATTAAATCCTGCAACAAAGAAAAGAATCAGTTAGAAGAAGAAGAAGGCGTCGCCGGAGAAGAAGGAGTCGTGAAGAGAGTCAACGACAAAGAAGGAAGCACAAGTCAACAATGTTGGGCTTGAGTGTTTTTGTAATGGGCTGCAGAATGAATTAAGGCCCAAGTGAAGAAGTGTTTTGTTTAGTTTAGTTTAACTAAGTGTAAGTTAGAAGTGAAGTGAGTTGTTGGAGTTGTCAAGAGTCTAAGAAGAGTTGTTAGTAGAAGCATGGTCTAAAGTATGATTTAAGTGTTAGAACCTAGGAGTATGGTCTAGTGTGTAAGAGTCATGATTAAGGTTCATGTGTCTAGAGTAGCCAGTGGAGATAAACCACTATATGTATGCTTGTAAGTGTCTTGTAAGAAATATCTTTGTGATCCAATAAACAAGATGTAGACAATTAATGTTTTCTCTCTTCTCTCTTACTTAACGTTTATGTCTTTGTGTTAAAACAAGAATCTAACCAAAGACTTGAGAGAATGAGAGAACAAGGTTCTCTTTGTGTTTGTATTAAAGTGAGTGAGTGATACACAGCACTAAAGAGAACAAAGAGAGAATAAGGTTGTGACCTCAAAGAGTGTGAAGAGGTCCAAATGTCAACATGATTTCACTCCTATATGTGCCACCTATCCCACACACACAAATAATGAGTCTTTTCCTACATAGGACGCCTACCTTTTGATGTATTCACTATCTTCTTAAATTATCAGTATCGTCAAATCTTAAAATTTGACATTCGCTTAAATTTAACTCGTATTTATTTGCATCTCCGAAATTCTATCTTTGGTGAATAACCTTTTTAGTCAATTGGTGAACATGCTGAGTTAAATCTTGTAAGACTATTTTGAGGAAGACAATACAACAATGAGAAATCATTTAGTCGATACATGACTTACATTAAGTACTTGAACTTGAAAATACATTAAAAATAGCAGACTAGATCAAAGAGACCACACACCAATTCTTATTGGAAATTTCATTTAGTCTACACGACTTATTATAGAAGGTGGAGTGGACAATGGCTACACCATCATTACCTTGTTCTACAAGTCTTAATTATTAGCCCCACCAAGGAGCCTCACCACAAGCTGGAGGTTCGACCCATCCTTGATGAAATAATCCCCGAGCGTCGCATCATCGTCGGCCAAGACCTTCCCTCCGAAGTAAATTCTCTGTTCATCACTCAAGGTTCCCTCTTTAGCTTCAACGAGTGATTTCAGCATCTTGATTGTGATCGTGTCATCTGTGACATCGATAGTCACAATTTTACCCCCCACACTTTTCACAAAAATTTGCATGACTACAAAAGAAAAACACAGTTAAATATCATATAATATCAAAACACATATAAGCTAAGAAAGACATAAATAAAGAAAGATATCTCTCTATATATATATATGTGTGCCTTATTGTAAAACCTTTAATTTAACAAGAGAATTTATGCTGTTTTTGAATAAGTAGTGAGAAGTAGTGAGAAGTATAGTGAGAAGAGAGAAGGAGGATGTGTGTTTATATAGACTCCTTCTTGGAAGGAAGTGTTACATTTTCTTGAAATTTCATATCAAAATAATAATAATTCATCTCCTCTCGTCAGCGTCATACTCATAAATGATGCATTTTCATGATGCATTTTCATGATGCATCTACTATAAATTTATCTGAAAATATTTTTGAATCTCAATGTAAAATCTTGTCATTGTAAATATTATTGATGGTATTTAATGTACGTAAATGCTTACAAAACTGAAGTTCTAGTTTGTATAAGCAAATCAAAACTTCTTAAAATTGTTTTTGATTATAATGACTCCTTGTTGGCTTCGCAAAACATGAATAAAGATAATCTTACGTGGCTACAATTATACACTTACGTGTTGAAATGCGTTTATATTATTGAAACTTTTTGTGGCACACGAGGGACTCCCTCACAAATGCAACAAATGATTAGAGTCATTAATAATCATATCATACAACTCGTTAGATGCAGGTATTTTAATATACAACAGATGAACCAAACAATTCATCAAAATAGCCTTAACCAAATTCGATATATTACTGTTGACTTAAAAAAATTGATGTTAACGTTGCGACTCCCACAAAAAGACTTTTTTATTTAATGAAAACTTATTTTAAAATTGAAACGACTTTATTCTGTAAGATATTATCAAAAACATCATTTTAGTGTAAAGTTTCAAAATACAAGATATATATGTAATCCTTTTATTGATTTGAATTTCTTGTATTAACTGTGATCATGCAATATTTTTGGTTTATCATCATCTCATGCTTGCCTTTTCGAGAGAGTATATTAAACGTGTGCCATAGAAAAGATAGTAAAATTAATTATTTTTGGACGCTGATGTTGTGTCTTGATGACTATCTCACATTCATGTTGTGTTTTATAATGAGTCTCTCACGCACAACTTGTCAAATGCATATGTTCTTAATTTAACAAAACAAATCATCCTCTTGTTCAAATATTAAATCATCCTCTTGTTTAATACAAATCATCCTCTTGTTCAAGTATTATATCATCTTGTAGTTTAATACAAATCATCCTCTTGTTTAAAACAAAATAAATCATCCTAATGCACAAGGGCAAAAAATAAAAATAAAAAAGGCAAGAAAGATTACATAAAAATGGTTCTGATGAGAAACAGAGCCCACCACTCTCATTTTTCCCTTACCATGAAAGAAATTGGATGGTGCATGCGGTCCTCCTCCTTGGAAGGAATTGTCACATTTTCATTTGAAATTTTATATCAGAAAAAAAAAAAAATTCATCTCTTCTCGTCAGTACGTTAATGCTTTAAACAAATATTTTGCCTTACATCATCGTAACGTGCACTGCGCATGTCATGATGCATCTACTATAGTCAGAATGGATCTTTAAAGATCGATGACATTTGGTTGGTTTTATTCATAAATATCAAAAAACAAATTTTAAAAAAATAAAATCAGAAGAGAAATGAAAGTTGTAGCCGAAAACGACCCAAATTTTACAGCATCTCAAGCAGTGTGCGAAACGTACGTCAAACATAAAGTTAGATGTGATATTTTCCGGTCATCCGTGTATCCATGGTATCATTTATGACGGGTAGCATAATTTGTTTTCTATGCATATATTATTTCGTAATTATGTATGTCTTCATTTTATATTGTACAAATATAAATTTGTTTATATGGTTAATTAGGACTCATGTTTTTTTATTTCTGTCTCTCACCATCACCATCATAAACTTTGTATTCGAGGGTTCATTAATTTCATGCTTGAACATTACTATGTAAGCTTATAGTGGACTTTTGTTGTGTAGACATATCTGCCTAATCTAGGCTAAATCCTCTTGTCCACCGTCTCATAATTATTTTATGATAGGTTCAACAAACGTGACACACCTCATAGTTATTAGACAGTGTTTTTTCCAAGATCCAAAATTTATTACAGAACTGCTGAAAGTTGAAGCTATCTACTTTTTGGGTCGTCTTATTGGGCTCTTATTTTTGTAACGAAGAAAGCTGAGTGGAGCTCGACCTTTGTAAAACTTAGTGGCAAAACATATGAATCCAAAGGGCCATACTCAGTGTTAGCCACATCTGTGTTCAGGACAGTTACTAGAAGCTCGGTATATCCCAATCCCGAGTATCAAGAGTACCATCATTCCTAGCTTTGGAGATATGATCTAAAAATACAAAATAAGCATCAACATACAAAGCAACCAACAATTACATGGTTTCCTAATAGCTGAAAAATGACTTGTTCTTGTTCCCAGGCAAGGCATGAAACCATCTTATACATACTACACATCTACTCAGGAATATCAAGTTGAAGAAGTATGTGGCATTAATATTAAGATGAGCACAGTGAGTGACTAGAAACAACCATTTATCAAGCTACAATAGTAAAGTAACAACAACTCCTACTAACATTTACCTCCTACAGGGCATCTTGGCAAGATGCCTTTTCTTTATCATCTTTGCAGCGTGCCAAAGCCCTCTCAACAAACCCACAAGGCGATTCCAGGCTACACGCATTGAGAAAATTTCTTTCCAATGTAAATTGTAAAAAATAAATAATTACTCAGCACAACAATATACAGTGGCCAATCTACTTCACTTGCTATATGATCAACCATTGAGAGAAGGAATCTTACCTCAGGCATGGCAGTGGTGTGGTCTTTCGGCTTTGGCTTTAAAGTTACAGATTAAAGGAAGACTGGGGAGTTCAGTTCTTGAGGATATGTAGCTCTCTGATGACCCTGTCAGGTTGTGTCATATAAGGCTTTCGTCTCCAGAGGACTCTGGTACTGATTTTGTGGGGAAACAGGATGATGATTGATGAGTGCTTGGTATTCGATGCTTCCAGTAAGCATCATTAGAGGTACTAACAGCTGCACCAGGCTGAGAGAATGATGAAAAATGAATACTAAGGTTTCATTATAAGGTTAATCTAAAATAAATAAAAAAGACTCTGTACATAAATAAATAAATAAAATCAGGAATTGATTCTATGCAGTATTTCTTGGTAGCTAACGGTTACAGTTACTATCACTCTTTCACCAACTTAGTCACTAGCATTCTAAACTCAAAAGATTTATCAGGAACACATTTGATCAATAATAAGCTGTACGCAGATCAAATAAGCTAAAGGACGAGAATTTACTCTACTCCCTCATGAAAGTAAAAACTGAACCTGCTGAGAAGGTGGTTGGGATGAGTCGGTTTCCTGCCTCCAAACTTCTGTTTGGCTGTAATTGACTATTGCTGGTAGTTCTGTTGATAATGTACAGGTGGTGTGGTTCAATAGTAGAGTATGAGTGTTAGCAGCGCCAGGAGTATAATTTTGATCAAGGGTTTGAGGGGTCGTCAGTAAAGTTTCCCAGGTTCGAAGCAGGAGTCTGATTGCTGTAGTTTGTACTTGGGTAACTTCCAGCCGTTTGGTTGTTATAATTTGTCAGAAGATGTCTGGTATGGCGTATATCCACTGTAATCTTGTGCCGCATTTGCAGTTCCAGACGTTGATGAGCTAGTGAAGGATGCGGTATTCGGTATTTCTTGCACATTGCCTGTGGCTGGCCCTATGGGCTGTGGATGGTAATAGTTTGAATTTGAATAGTTCCCATTCTCCACAGCCTGATTTTCAACAAGAATGTGCTTTCCATGGGGCACTGTCAGACCCAGTTGAGTATTGATATGAATATTTATTCGCTTGGCTTCCATCAACACCATATTGATTCTACATAAAAGAGAAAGCATTAGTAGTGGAAAATGGTCTGGGAATTTTTTACCACATAAAGAAATAACTAAAAATAAGGAACTACAAGTCTCATAATAAACATATGGCAAATGCAAAAGAAGACCTACTTTGGTATCAAGAAGCATATCTCCGTTGCTGTCAGTAATGATGTTAGCACCATGAGTTTTTAGCCATTCCTAACACTCCTCCATACCATCGGTCTCCTTTTCATCAGTACCATCGCTTGCAGCACCAGTAAAGCCCAACACTTGGACTATGTATGAGACCGGGATTGTAGGACGACAACTACGCGACATAAAATTCACAGCCTTGTAACACATCTTCTCCACATAGAGATCTGCAAACATAACAATTTCACCATATCTTTACATATCTAGTTTAAACATATCAAAAGAGTTTTCATGTATCATATGACCCTTACCCATGAGGCAACTATTCATGTTTGGTGCAGTCTTGTAGAGTCTGAAGAACATAACATAATTTCCTGATGTGACAGCTGCACGAACTGAAAGAGCATGTCTGACTGCTTCATCCTTCTTATCTTCTTCAGATAATCTACAAAACAGAGGTCACAAAATTACTCAATCTCATGCATACAAACCCAATTCAAAGTGGTAGTAACCTCTTTGCACTGGTAGGAAGAGATGTTACAAAAACTCAACTATCAGGTAGGTGGAGTGAACATTTATAATTCCAATATTAACTCAAAGAAATTGTGTAGCAAACCATATTCTGATATTTCTACGAAACCTTAATTTATAAAAGTTTCTCATGGAGCATCAATGCATCATGCTTAAACGGAGCCCAGAGATGGGAATTTAAAGGTACTAACCTGGACATGGATGATAGCAGTTCTCGGTTGTTGTTAGAGTGTAGAGTATATAGAGTAGACTGTACGCAACAAACTCCAGAGAGCATCCTTCTATATCTTCCGCATAAAGAGTTTTTAACTGTGACAGGCACTGTAACAAAAAAAATATATAAATCAATTTAGCAAGGCTATATATACCCTAAGAGTTATAGTCTCCTCAGGAATAGACAACAGATGTATTCTCCAAGACTTGATGGAACGGTATCATTATATTGCAGAATCAATGCAAACAAAAGCCACAATCCATAGTAACAAGTCCTCACAACTATGCTCTCTTTTGCAAGGTTCTCTCTGTTTTAACACTTACCATTATAACTGTAGCATCTTCCCAGCTATTAATCACAATCCGTATCCAAGTTTTACTAAATTGATTTAAAACCTAGAGGCACAACTCGACCCCT